GGTCACTATAACTTCTGGGTCGAACTGGATGCAACAGCTTAGCATTTCGAGGGATGCAGCTCTGGGAGATGGAGAGACCATATGCACGACATTGAACAGCAGGTTTGCTTGACACCACCCTTCAGGCCTGGACGACTTGCTCTGATACCATGTTGAGCAAGAGCAAGAGAAGAGAGGAGAGGAGAAGAAAGGAGAGAGGAGAGTCGAGTGGACTGAAAACCCTCCAGAATCCTGGGGGCGAGTGTAAGAGTTATTATTTATACTGGCCCAGTCGTACAATATAAACAAGGGAGAAATTACAACAGTACCCTTGAGGTACTAAACCCGAGTACACAAAACAACTGTCAACAGTCTTGAAAATGGTGGTGGAGGTACATTGCTTTGAAATCCACACTCAGATGTTAGTGCATTTATTTTTAAACATGCATTTTTGAATGTTTCAAACTTCCTAGTATTTGATTTGTTAATTAACAGTCTTTTTTATCCACATTGTTTATTTTTTTATAAAAAGTTATTGAATTGACATCTTGCAATCTCAAACTTCTCCTATTCAAAATACACATTGGATTTAAAATTCTATATATAAAGCTTCATCTATTAGGACTCAATGAAGATTAATTTCCTGTTTGTTTCTTTCTTGTTTAGCACCTGCAATTTATTCTCAAGATCCAGACAAGAAATTAAGTTTTTACAATAATTTCAATAGTTGGCTTTTAATTGTTAGATCTTATATTTGATGATTTTACCTTATTTCCGGTTTCAGGATATGAAGCGGCAATGCGATGAGAAAAGGTCTGACTGTTTCCTTTTTATCTTCCCTGATACCATGAAGTGAATGTCTTCTCACTTAAAAGTGTATGATCTTCAGAAACATGTATGAATACATATTGGCGGCACAGAGGGAGAAAGGAAGGCCAAGAAGCAGCAAAGGAAGTTTTTCTTCTCAGCAGTTGAAGGCAGCTCATGATGAGTATGATGAGGAGGCAACATTCTTTGTATTTCGTTTAAAGTCGTTGAAGAAAGGGCAATCTCGAAGTCTTCTGACACAGGCTGCTCGGCATCATGCTGCACAGGTTCCCTCCCTCCCCCATAAAATGAAAATTTATGATAGCAAGATTTCTCTTCTTAGTTGACAGTTGGTAAACTTTGTTCCTTTGTTTCATACAGTTAAAATTCTTTAGGAAGGCACTCAAGTCTCTTGAGGATGTTGAAGCACATGTAAAACTGATTGCTGAACAGCAGCATATTGATTATGAATTCAGTGGACTTGAAGATGATGATTGTGATGATGATGATGATAGCAATGATGATGGAGAGTTAAGTTTTGACTATGGAGATGTAGTAGCAACAGCAAGTGATTCAATGGAGGTGAGATTTGTTGTTAGAATGATTTGTTAGTTGTTTCTGCTGTTATAGTATTTTATAGTCAGTCTTAGGGTGCTGTAATCTTGTTTACTGCTTTTTATTATTGTTTTTTATTAGGGTGTGCCTCCAGGGGCAAGGATGTAATTTTTCCTTCTTTTATTTTTATCTCATTAATATAAATAGAAAGCCGGGCGCCGCCAGCCTAATGTCTTGGCTCCCAAACAGCCGATCTCTCTTCTCCTTCTCTTCTCTTCCTTCTCTCTTATTCTCCCTTTCTTCTCTTCTTCCTAGAAGAAAACATGGTATCAGAGCAAACTTCTGGGCAATAGGAGGACTTTTCTCTCTCTGAACTACATCTCCTCTCATCAGTTTTTTTTTTAATTTCTTGAACTGTGAGGTGCTAGAGCCCAATCAGACTGGTCAGAATTCTCAGACTGTGACTTCTCTGGGTTCTTCCTTGGTCATAATACCAAGGAAACCCTAGTGGGTGACACCATGACAGCCGATGCTGTGAAGGCTGCATTCTTGTTATGTTCACCTTCGTACAGGTGCTGTATAGGGGGTTGTGTGCTCCCTCGTTATAGGTATGTGCTGCCTTTTTTTTTGGTGTGGTTTGTGGGGCCTAATGATGATTGAAGACTGGTTTTTTGGGTCTGTTAGTTACTAGTAGTGGTTTTTTCTGCAGTGGTGTTCCATTCTAGGAGGCAGATTGGTGTGTGCTTTGTGCCTGCGTGTGTGTTGGGTAGTAGAAATAGGGTGGAGACCTATTTCTGTGTACATCAGTGGTTCCTTTTGAATTGTAGAACCTGCTCAACATGGCAACTGATGATTCAACTTCGTCTGGGATTACATCAACCTGTGGTACAGCTGGTATGAATGCTGAGAATATGCTTTTTCTGATGCCAATTGCCCCTTTGAATGGTTTGAACTATCTAGAGTGGGCTAAAGGTGTTAAACTATATGTTACAGCTAGGGGAAAAGTTGGATACATAAATGGGAGAGTAAAAGAACCTAAAGATGGGACAGCTGAACATGATAAGTGGGATCAGAAGAACAGCATGGTGATGAAGAAGAATTTTATATGGGGAAAGACTGCAAATGAGATATGGGAACAAGCTAAAACTACCTACTTTGAGCAAAGACACTATGCCAAGATTTATCAGTTACAGGCTGAATCCTCAACTTGTAAACAGGGTGACCACAGTTTGTCAGCATATTATTCAGCTCTTATTTCTGTTTGGAAGGAGTTGGATCACTATCAGACTATAGAATGGAAGAATGATGATGATGCCAAAGCCTATAAGAAGTTGGTATCTTAGCAGCATTTTGAGAAGTTGTGATTTGCCTTCAGTCCAAGAGGTGCATGCCTTGGTCCAATCTGAGGAAAGTACGCGGAGTGTAATGGTTGCAAATGAGGGGGAGCAGCAGATTTTATTAGCTGCAACAGGTAGTGCTAATGTAGGAAAGAAAAGTGGTGATCCCAAGAAAGTTGATGACAAGGACAAGTTGTGGTGCACTCACTGCCGACATTCAAGACATACTCGTGATACATGCTGGGAGCTCTTTGGAAAACCAAAGTGGGCTGTAAAAAAGGAAGAGAAGGGTAAGGTGCAGGGCCAGAAGAAGTACAATGTAGCAAATATGGCAGCTCAAAATTCTCAGTCTACTAGTAACCCTAGTGCTACACAGGAACAGTCCACGAGTCCTGACCCTAAGGAATATATCATGAACTCATTCCGCAATCATCTAGAATTGTATGGTAGGGCTCTAAGATGGACAACTCAGTTACTAGTACTCCCTCTACTTCATTTGCATCTACATCAAGTAATGTGGCCTCTGCCTTCCATGTTTCCACTGCCACTGATTCCCTTTGGATTATTGATTCAGGGGCCTCGAACCACATGACCAGTAAGCCAAATCTATAGCTTGTTGTCCGAAAGAGATAAGGTGAGGCTTGCAGATGGATGATTCTCATCCATTGCAGGCCAGGGATCAATATCTCTTCCTCATGGCTTCAACCTTAATAATGTATTACGCGTACCTAAACTTCCTATCAATTTGCTTTCCATTAGTAGTATCGCAAATTCTTTAAATTTTAGTGTAACCTTTTTTTCCTGGTTCATGTACTTTTTAGGATCTAACTTCTGGGAGGACAATTGGTAGAGGAAGCTTAGTGCATGGTCTCTATACTCTTAACAACAAGGTTGGTTTCTCGGTGTCATCTTCATTAGGTCATCTTTAGAGTCACATTGTTAATTGGGTCAGTCCAATAAGAGTCAAGTTTTTTTTTTCTTGGGGCATAATCATCTAGGTCATGTGTCCTTTGAAATATTAAAGTGTTTGTTTCCATCCTTATTTAAGTCATGTTTGGTGTCAGATTTTCAGTGTCAAACATGTCAATTGAGTAAACAATGTTGAACAACTTTTCATTCAAGTAACAAAAGAGCAAATTTCTCTTTCCATATTATGCATTCTAATGTTTGGGGGCTTACTACTATAACTTCTGAGGGTGGATATAAATACTTTATCACCTTGATTCATGACTTTTCTCATTATACATGGATATTTCCTATGCGTACCAGAGACGAAGTCCCAAAGATTATAAGGGACTTCCAAAGGATGGTATTCACACAATTTCATGTTGAGATTCAAATCTTTCAATCAGATAACGCGAAAGAATATTTCCATGGTGAGCTTAATGAATTTTTTGCTTCCCATGTGTTAAGTTGACTGATTTTATGTATTGTTGGTTCGGCTGATAAGTGTACATGTTAGTTAGTATTGGGTTTTAAGCTGTTAGGTACTGGGCCTTTGTTATTGGGCCTAAGTYTGTTTAGTGTTTTAAGCAGTCTAGGTGTCCCATCACTAATCAGGGGCATTCCAAACATTTCACGTAACACTGTATTGTAATCTACTATAAATAATAGTACTGACAACTGGGTTACTCAGTTCGACATTTTCAGCACCTGTTTGCCTTCACCTCTCTTCTACTACTTTAGCTAAAACCTTTCAGCAAACATGGTATCAAAGCATTGAGCGATCTTCTGGTTACAGCCGACGCCAACTCTTCTCTCTTGCTTTCTTTCTGTCTTTTTTTTTTTATCCTGGTTGCTGCGGGGAAACCCTAGGGTTGCCGTAGAACAGAACAAGGTTCGAACCTAGGGTTTCCCTTGGTTGTAGGGCACAAGGGAAGTAAGACCCAGAAGTTGATGTCCTACTAGACTGCTTCTATTAGTTAGTAGCCATTCGGCTGCTAAGAGAGGTCTGTATAGGACAGACCTAGGTTGAGGACTGATTTCAGCAGTCCTAGTATTGGTTGTAGGGGTGAGCACACTCCACAGTAGCAGAAGTCGAAGCCCAAGAGAAGTATGCATAGTGCAGTGGTGGAGAGCTCTCAGTTTCAGGTCGGTTACTAGCTCACAGAATACTTCTTGCTGCTGTAACTAGTCCACTTCAGAACTGTGACCACTTTGGTTAGTCTAAAACAGTGTTATCTACACAAAGTCTGCAACCAAGATGTCTTCAATATCCGTAGAGGTCTCTTCTAGGGATAACAGACCAGGTGGGAGGTCTTCAAATCTGGAGAACCCGAATATGCACAACTTGCAGATTACAAGTGTGTTGCTGGATGAATACAACTTCAGGGAGTGGTCCGTTTCTGCAATGCTTTTTATTACTTCCCGTGAACTCACAGGTTATTTAGATGGGAAGAAGAAGGAACCCAAAGTTGGCAGTGTGGAGTATGCAGTGTGGCGCAAGGAGAATGCCACAGTTATGTC